CTTTATGAAAATTGGAAATACATTGTAAACAACAATAAAGACTAATACATTACATAAGTTCCAACAATTTCAGTTACAKCTTACAGTTCAAGGTTTTGCCTTAAAATTGTGGAGTACAAGAAATTGTTACATTTTAAAGCACATCACTCTATATGTTCATTTAATCAATTACACTTCCCCATTCAAAATAATACCATTTACATCAAATTTTAAAGTTAATTATTTAAGACACATTTTGCAAACCTAAGATAAAGGACCTAAAGACATGCTGGGACACTACAGCCTGAACCACACATTGTTAATATTACCCATAAAACTAAAATTCTGTTGTGCACAAGATCAACAATATGCTACAAACAACATGACAAAGGCTGACATGCATAAAAGGGCTTGGACCCCGGTCATAACTGCTTTGCAGTTCTAGTTTTACTTTTTACTGTTTGTWATTTTACAAGACATATTAATACCAGCTCTCATGTCTTCAGTTTGTAAAACACTGGAATGTTCTAATGACACATCTCCAGATGCATGACTGCAGGCTGACCAACATTTGTCATTTTGACATGTCACGCAGCACCGGTCTTTTTCGCCATTTAAATTGTGCAAGAAACGTTGGGTTTAAAGAGCTAAACACACAGATGCTGGAATGTCGTCTGCAGACGAACATTTTTACTTGAAGTCAAACAAAAGTCGGTGTCAAACCTGACAACTGGAAATAAATATTTGATTTTTCACTCTGTTTCTATCTATAATTTATACTTTACACCTGGGCTATTCAACTGGTGGCCCGCGGGCCGCATCTGACCCTCGGGTGACTTCCATCCAGCCCGCCAATGAAAAAAATTAATGGATTTATTTATTTATTTTTGTATTTTCTTTTCTTTTTAACTTCATTTGATATAAAACTTACTGAGCCCGTGACATGGGGGATTTTTTTTCTTTTTGGTTCCCATGCAAAATTAAACACTGTTGTGCCTGCTGGTTTATTAACAAACTCACATGTTCACCATTAGCAAGTTAGCCTGCTTCTTTAATTCAGCTTCAGAATGAATATATCACACAGCCACACATGGAAGTATGTCATATGCCGATATTTTAACACAGTGCAGTCACGCAACATCAATGTCAATTTCAGGAACTTGTGGTGAGACATCCTGTTTTGGTAACCGGATATTTCAAAATAAAAGTCTGACTTAATTCAGTTCATATACAAATCAAACTTTTGCGTGGGAACGCAAAACAATATTGCGAGGTAAAGCAAAAGTATTGCAAGGGAACGCAAAAGAAAAAAAAAATCCCCCGTGTCCCCTCCCGGGCTCCGTAAAAACTAGATTCCAAATAATTTGTAAATTTAAAAATTATGTTTAAATGCAACAAAATTAATTAAAAAGGTAAAAGATGATACTTGTTCTGTTACATGATGTAGTGTTTTGCCTACCATTACTGGGCACCCCTCATATATATATATATATATATGCAACAAAAAAAGTAGAAGATACTTGTTCTGTCACATGGTGCAGTGTTTCACCTACCATTACTGGGCACCCCTCAGTGCCTCCAAATCCGAGGCCATGGTCTTGAGCCGGAAAAGGGCAGAGTGCCTTCTCCGGGTCAGGGGGGTCGTCCTGTCTCAAGTGGAGGAGTTTAAGTATCGGGGATCTTGTTCACGAATGGGGGAAGAACGGAGCGGGAGATCGACAGGCAGATTGGCGCAGCGTCTGCTGTAAAGCGGGCGCTGTACCGGTCCGTCGTGGTGAAGAGAGAGCTGAGTCAGAAAGCGAAGCTCTCGATTTACCGGTCGATCTACGTTCCTACCCTCATCTATGGTCATGAGCTTTGGGTCATGACCGAAAGAACGAGGTCCCGGATACAAGCGGCCGAAATGGGCTTCCTCCGCAGGGTGGCTGGGCTCTCCCTTAGGGATAGGGTGAGAAGCTCGGTCATCCGGGAGGGACTCAGAGTAGAGCCGCTGCTCCTCCACGTCGACAGGAGCCAGTTGAGGTGGCTCGGGCATCTGGTAAGGATGCCTCCTGGACGCCTCCCTGGTGAGGTATTCCGGGCACGTCCCACTGGGAGGAGGCCCCGAGGAAGACCCAGGACACGCTGGAGGGACTATGTCTCTCGGCTGGCCTGGGAACGCCTTGGAGTTCCCCCGGAGGAGCTGGAAGAAGTGGCTGCCCCCACGACCCGACCGCGGGGGCAGCAGCGACCTGCGACCCGGATAGGCGGAAGAAAATGGATGGATGGATGGATGGATACTGGGCACCCTCATTAGTGTCAGGCCCCCTAAGCTGTGGGATCTGAGTAACCCCGCCCCCAGAGTGATTTAGTTGAATAGCAGACTTGTAGTAGATACTAATAGTACTAATATTAGTACTAGTAATAATAGTAGACTTGTCTAAGAATAATTGTAAAAAATAGTAAAAGATAACGCTGGGATAATTTTGTCTCAATTTTAACTGCTATTGAAAGGAGTTAAACGTGTTCAAGAAGCACAACAGGAAAAAGTCAGTGAGAGGTACTTACATAAGAGTTCAGTAGAGTGGTTGCTTCCGAAAGCAGTAGGCATGTCACGGCCTTAGATTGATTTAATTCATCGTGACATTTGTTATAGATCGGAGAAGAAAGGACAAGTCTCCCCCAAACCAGCAGGATCATCCAGACAGGTACTGAGAAAAGATCAGGACACGCTTTGTAAATAATCAGCTTTAAACAGGAAAACAAATCTGCAACATTACAAACTTAACTTATTGCAATTATTAAAAATACTGACACCTTTTTTAAGGTGTCTAATGATTGCTGATGTTATTTAATCTAAAAATAAAAAATCTGCCAACATTATTGGCAAAGAAGAATTAGTGAACAGGGCCGCAGTGTTCATTTCTAGGGGTCCATGGCATGAGACAGACCCCTCAAGTTCTGTTTGACGCATTAGGTGGAATATGGTGTAAAAGTAGAAATATTTACAAAAAAAAATAAGAACGCTAATTATAAAACTCAGAAAAACTCTTTGAAATGCCTATAAAAGGTGTAAAATAAGCTAATGTTTACACTAAAAAGTGCAAATTTGCCACCAATTAAATGCTAAATTAAAGAGTCACCAAAAAATACAATGAATTGTAAAAAAAAAAGATGTTACAACAAAATAAAGCTGTGCAAAATACAAAGTCAGATGAACAGAATAGATAAGTGTCAAAATTGCTGCAATAAGACAGACATCATCCAAAAGGTTAAAAATATTACAATCATGAGAAAATACGTAGAAGGCACACAATCAGGTGATCTACATACACAAAACACTGAAGCAAAAAATTGTCAGTTCTATTTACTGAATATTATTATTAGATACAAAGAAAATAATATAATCTTTAAACAAAACTTACCAGCATCCTTTATCTGTTTATTGTGTTCACCATTCATTGCGACAAGTGTTTTGGTCGTCACAGTATAATTTTTGTTGCAAAAGTGTGATTTTATATAGTACAAATATCATCTGGACCCACCCCTTTGACACACCTCACTCATGACAAAATTCCACGGAGTCTTTTTTTAAATAGTGTGTAAGAGGAGTGAGTAAAAATGTAGATGTACTTTCTGATAATTTCATTATTTAGAAGTTGTTGTTTTTTTCTTTTGTTAGTAAACGTGTGGATTCTGGTCTGAAGTGTGAAAATGTATTGTCTTTTCTCTGTTTTGCCTCTGAAGAGTGAAGGCTTTTATACAATATTTAAAAGTGGTTTTGAGCTTCTTTTTTACTTTCACTTTGACTAAAATACCTTGAAAATATTGCTCTACAGCGGTTTGGGTCATTCGTATGTACTGTGTACCGTAACTTTTTTTTTTAAACTTACCAGATTATGAAGCCCAAAATACGACAACAGAGACCCTGAACTATTGTGTAACTGAAGTTGCACATCAAGCAAAAATGGGAAGTTGAGTGTTGTTAAAAGGAAAGCTGATGTAACACAGTGGTAAACATGTCTGTCCCAGCTTTTCTGCAATGTGTTCCAGGCATCAAACTCAAAACAAGGGAGTATTTGCAAAAAAAATAAATAAATAAAAAAAATAAAAGTTTAACCATTTGAACATTAAATATCTAGTCTTTGTTCTATTTTCAGTTGAATAAAGGTAGAACAGGATTTGCAAATCATTGTATTCTGATTTTCTTTGTTTTACACATCATACCAACTTCATTGGAACTGGGGTTGTAAATCTTGGTGTACCACAAGTATGTTAACGAGTTGCTTATTATTTGGCCTCTTCCATGATTCTCGTTAAGAGTCTTCTTTTGGTGAATTTAATTTGAATACATACAATATTTGTTCATAGCTAGAATTTCATACATTAAATATGAAACTAGCAAAACATTTAGTTTAGATGAAGAAGTGTTTGATGATTTATTTTTTTACTCAGACCACGGTTGTGGATTTCCATATTTTCCACATTTGTTTAATAACAGTTCATGGACTTCATCAATCTGAGCTCCAGCGTGAAGGTTTTTCAAACTCTTAATCTCTATGAAAACAGAAATTTTATGTTTTAGGTTCTAAAGATGACTTTAATGAGAATATGCTTACAAGACTTTTTGGAACTGGGTAAAATGGAAACTTATCTAAATACATCAATAACACCTAATTCACCAAATAAGTTGTTTGCCAGTTAAAACTAAATGATTGTAATCCAGTTGAATCAGGGATGAATGACAGAATTATTCTCGTCAGGATTCTGATCCTTTGAACCTATATTTTATTTAATAAATTGCTCTTTCCCACACAAAAGTAACTTTTCTTTCCATTCTTTTTTTATTTATGAAGAAGCACAAAAATTACAAATGTTCAAATAATACTTCAAACTGTATAAAATGCAGTTATAAGAAAGAAAACATCTAAGTGAAACTCACTAAATCAAAATTTTTTGTGCAAACTGCAAAAATTAAGACATTGTGCTATTGACCTCAGATAATGTTAAAGGTTAAAGTGTTGACCTCTTATAAAAAAAAAATTAGAAAAATATTATGCACATTCTTTTCAAACATCAAGTGAGCTGATGTTAAAAATAAATCTTAATATTTCTGTTTAAATGAAATTTAGTGTAAAACTAAAGCTCTCACACACTTGGGTTTAAACAAACAAACAAAAAAAAAACTTAAAAAAAAAGCCAGCTGTTGCATACAACACTGTAGGAGTGTTGGCTTAACAATGAGAAAAATGCTGCAATTCTCAAAATTTTCTCATGCATATTTATGTAGAATTGTTTAAAATACTAAAAAAATAAAATAAAAAGCTGGGGCGGCCGAGGAGGGCATGACACACACTCTCAGAACAACCCACACTCCCAAAGTAAAGTCAATTTTTAATCACAATTTTCCAGGAAATGACTGATTTATTGCCAAAAGAATCATCGAAATTATTTGCTTTGTCATTGTTGTGTCAGCTCTTGTTGAGGGTATGTTGTAACAAGACAAAAACATTTAATTTTTTCCTCCTTTTACTACGTTTCCTCATTTACAAAGCTGAATTCAGATCAAAGTACTGATTAGATTTTATTACAAATAAAGCCAGGTGTAAAATGTATTAAAGGGGACAACGGTTGTTCTCAATTAAAATAAAATCCCAGCATTTGTCTCATTAGTTAAGGCCATTTTATGATATGAACATTATTGGAAGACAAAAATTGTGATTTTTTTGTTTTTAGTACTCATGATACATATTTTTGGGTAAGCTACAATGAGCAAAAATAAAACAACTCTAAATATACATCGCAGATAAGTCTCAACTCTAACCTAAACAGTTTAGTATACATGAAGTCCTACTTGTTAATCTGAATTGGTAAGTGCATTTTTTGTCTTGATATAGATATAAAAATAATTATCCACAATGAAATGCATAAATGTGTGCTTGTATGGCGCCCAGAGGGTCTGTATAAGAACAAACTGTGCACACACACTGGAGAGAAGCTCATCTGGTGTTCATGGCAAACCTGTAATGGTTAATACTGTTGGTTAAGCAGAGCTGAACTAGGCACAAAGTTAGCCTCTTTTCCTGCTAGCCTGCAACCCCCGTCCCAGAGAATCTGAAGCGAGGGTGGGGTGGGGACAGAGAGAGGCAGGACCGTCCAGTTTAGAAATCAGCTGGCAGCTGCTTCTTTCCTCTGGTGATGGAGCATGTCCGTCACGCTCACGATGTCCTCCTCTGGAACCTGCAACAGAAACATGAGATGACTTCTATTAGAGTTACAATAAAACATTTATCTGAATTTTGTTTATTTTGTAAAAACAGAACTGAGTGTAATTTTTGCTAATGAAAAACCAGTGTTAACTATTAGTTGGCAAAGCAAGATAAGAGCACTGATGAATGTTCATTTATCCATGTTTCCCTTTGACTACAAAGGCCCACATCAGGTCTACATCAGTGTTTAGAATTATATTCTCACATTTGGTCCAATTTAAACTGACCAGAGTTCATTTCCCTCGTTGGTTTGGACTATCTATGCAGGTGTGAATACACTCATGTGAACCCGGGTGTGGATCAAACAAGTGGACCAACATGACCTCAAAAATGGGTCTTGGTCTGTTTCCAAACCAACTCTGGTGCGGTTCTCTACTGGTGTGAATACAGACTGGCCTGGAACCAAACCAACTACAGGAAACATGCATCTTTTTGTACTTCATGAGCCACCGTAGCTAAGCAACATTAACCCTTCAGTGTTGTTAAAAGGATCCCTAATTAGTTGTAACATTAGACTTTATTTGATAAACATTTATTTTAACTGTAAAATAAAGACTGTAAAAATACTGTAGGATGTTTAGTTTAGTAAACTTTTCAAAATATATTTTAACATTGACAGAGCCTTTTTATTTACACGCAAAGCATTCTGGGTAAATGATGACGTGGATAGGTCCTCGGTGTGAGGCTGCTAGCGAGCTATATCCACCCTGAAGGTTAATCTTGGACAATATCTGATGATCGACTCTTTTAAATGAAACCAGAGAGTGTTGACAGAGAGGAGAAGGTAGAAATGACTCAGCCTGGAACTGAAAATATGGATGGAGGACAACAGAGCTGCTTCATGGAAGCTTAGCATGCTTAGCATGTTAGCCTTCGTGCTAGCGCCAACGCTATATTGCCTTACATGTATTAGCTCGGTGCTAGCGCAAAGGCTAACAGGCTAAACCGAGGTCCTCCATCCATATTTTCAGTTGCAGGCTGAGACGTTTTTGTGTTCCCCTCTGTCATGTGGACGGAGGACCTCAGTGATGAGAGGAGAATGTGTAGCGCTGAGCTAATATATATTTATAGTCATAGCGTCTGTGCTAACGCTAAAGCTAACAGACTAAGCTGAGGTTCTTCTTCCATGAAGCAGCTCTGTTGTCCTCCATCCATGTTTTCAGTTACAGTCTGAGTCATTTCTACCTTCTCCTCTCTGTCAACGCTCTCTGGATTCATTTGAGAGTCGATCATCAGATATTGTCCAAGATTAACCTACTAGCAGCCTCGCATTGATGACCTATCCACGTCATCATTTACCCACAATGGTTTTCGTGTAAATAAAATGGCCCCATCCGTGTAATATATTTTTAAACTTTTAGTTAAAAAAAAGATAAAAACTAAACAGCCTACAGTGTTTTTACAGTCTTTATTTTACAGTTAAAATATATGTTTATCAAATAAAGTCTAATGTTACAACTAATCATGGATCCCTTTAATGCTAACACTGCGCTGCAAACAATGAGCCGCTGTGGGTCAGGGAACATGGAGCATCTCGTCTCCTTTAGGTTTCAGCACACATTTAACAACGCCATCCCAAAATTAAATCTGAATGAGCTGCTTCATATCCTTCATATTCCTAATACTCAGTTTTATTAACACCATCTTTAATTCTGGGTCTGTGCTCTGTCCCGCCCCCGTCATTTCTGTTCAATAGGAGCAATGACCATCACCTGCGTGGCTTTGTTTATAAGTTATAGTCCATTTGCAAAAAGCACAATGTGAATACAAACTGCACCAGATGAATAAAAATTAAGTTCGCTATTTGGTCCTGACCAAACAAGTGGACCAACAGACGTTCCTGGTGTGAATGCTAGACTTTGTAGTCCTGATCAGAAAGGGGCAAGGTGTTTCCTGCCTGAGCCTGAGGACCTTCAAATAGTTTTGTGGCAGGGGAGAATTCCAACAAATAAATAATAATAATAAAATAAAACAATCAAGTGATTATAAAGTGGGATAGCTAACAAAATCAGGTCCAAATCTGACAGTGTGTTTCTTCACCTGTGTTTGTTGGAGTTCCTCTTGCATTTGGTTGTGAATCACTCTAATATCAACAAGAGCCATCCTCCTATTTGCACTCCTTGCAGGATGTAACTCGTGTATTTAAGTTTAGGAATACCCCGATCGGTTTTGCTATTTTAGTGAAGTGACTTTTGTTTTTCTCCACTTACATTTTTTTTTTAAAAAAACAGGAAACCTGGAAAATATAATTTATGCTTTTATCAGTTCAAGGCTTGACTGATGTAATGTTCTTTATGTTGGAACCTCCAAATCCTCCCTCAGCTGTTTTTAACTTTGTCCAAAACTTTCATTTTACCTTTATTACTGTGAATCCCTTTGATCACCTTCTGGTTGTTGTCAAGGATTGTAGAAATAAAATATTGATAGATTACAAATTACCCTGTGTAACTATTCCAACAAAATTACAAATTACACTGAAAAACAATTAAAAAAAGTGAAACCATAAAGAAATAAAAAAGGGTAAGGAGTAGGGTATACTGATTAAAAAGTTAGTGTTAAAAAAATGCGAGCTTTTAGTTTACCTCGTAGCTCATTCACCTATCACCCATTTTTTCCCTCAATCATGGACAAAGTAGATAAGCTCCGTAGATTACCATTAACAGATAGTCTGTGCATTTCTCAGAAGTGAATTTGCTATTATTAGGCCAGCCTGTGGTTTGCAAGGTTAAAATATCGTGACACTCACTTCACAGCGTGATGCAATGACGCACTGAGTAATGCAAAGAAGGTACGGAAAGTTTTATACTCATTAGTGAAATAGTTAAAAAGGTGGGACATGAAAGAATGTTCTCAGTTAAAATACTGTAGATAGAATCAATGAATACAACACAAATTTTCTATTATTTTTAAATTAGAGGACACTTTCATACTAAAAAAGCAAAGATGCAACTAAAGGCACAATTTTTGGGGGGTAAAGCAGGGGGGATCCAATTATTGCAAAAATAAGACCTTTGATTCTTAACCTCGTCCCAGTTTTTTGTAGAATGTATTAAGGTTTTATTTTTTAAGGTTTTAAGTGTTTTCCCACTAAGACTTTCTGCTAAGATGAAGTCATCTCTCTCCACCAAAGCCCTTGAAAAAGTGGCTCAGGCTCTTATTACATCTCATTTGGATTATTGTAATTTTTTATTTGTTGGTTGAGATAAATCATCTCTGCATTGATTACAAACTGTCAGAACACAGCAGCTTATCTTTTAAGGCCCTGTCACATTAGAACATTTTGGACAACTTATGCCAGGGGTGGATCTACAGGGGGGCAAGGGGGGGGGACTGCCCCCCTGCTGTACAGCCTTGCCCCCCCAGCTGCCCCCCACTTTTATGTTTCAAAAATATTTGTAATTACTGTTTTTTTTAGTCCAAAAGCCCATTACAACCTTTAAAATAAATATTTATTTACCAAAAATATATAATTGTAAATATAATCTGAGGCCCCTGAAAAGCTTAGTTACGGCCCTGCATCAAACACCACCTGCAGCTCTGCAGGCAGAACATGTGTCACACTGACGAGGCAGTCTGTCTGCTGCAGAGTGGAGTCACTGAGCTTCCAACTTTCTACAGTTAAAGTAAGTTTCTCTTGCTGATGTTTTAACACACAACAGTAAAGTTAAGTTTGCAATAGGGCTGCCACGATTAGTCGACGACTAATCGATTATTAAAATAATCGATGACTAATTTAATAATCGATTAATCGTTTTCTTTTTTTTTTTGTTCTTTATTTTGTTTTTCTCTCCAAACTGCTTTGACACCTTCCACTGCCACATCTGCCTTTCTGTCCTTGACACACATGCACAGTAGTGGTAACTGGGGTAGGCCGTGGACGTCACAAGACATTATACAGACAGGCTCTGGTATCATGGCTACCTGACAGAGCTCAAAGTGTGGGATCATTTTAAGAAAATGAAAGAGAAACCTGTGTAATATCTGCAGAGCAGAACTTGCCTTCCACAGCAATTATTTTTAGTTAGCATTTAGCTAAAATCTAACCATTGTTATATAATAACAGCTGCATTCTGGCGCGATAAGCTCTATGTTTTATATTCAATTAACGTATGATCCGATTAGTCGACTAATCGAAAAAATAATCGGTGATTAATCGATTATAAAAATAATCGTTTGTGGCAGCCCTAGTTTGCAATGAACGAAATATCTGCTAAAGTGTCCAACATTCACGGTGTAATGACGACAGTGACTTAGCATTAGCTTATTTCTATAGGTAGTTTCATTTACAATAAGCATGGTAACAGTTAATGAAAAGTTTAGATATTAAAAAAAGGCTTAAGGTTTGCTTTTTAGGGGCTGCAGTTTTACCGATGCCTTTATTTGATCAATATCATGGCAATGAGGCACAAAGAAACCACGTTACATTTGTTTTGTCAGATCAAGAAAGTAAATAAGCTGCTATGATAATGAAATGATAAGCTATGATAATAATGGGCTAATTTTTAAAAGTCTTGATGCTTGCACGTTGCAGACCAAAATGAAAAAGAAATTTTAAAGTAGATATACTGACTTTTTATTTTTATTTTTGCAAAAAAGCAAGGGATGAGAAGGAAGAAGAGACTGAGAAATGAGAAAGGAAGACAGAGGAGGGTCACAGGTGAAGAAGCCCACTGAAAGTGCAACAGGTGAAGAAGATGAGGAAAGTGATGTCAGCATAAGTGGTGAAGAAGAGAAGATTTCAGAGTTAGAGAGAGAGAAAGAAGACAGTGCAGAGGAATCTGAAGGGGAGAAGGAAGGCACAGAGTCAGAGAATCCAGCCTATACTCCAGCTGGACCAACTGGTATGTAGTACAAATATATTAGATGTTTCAATAATGACACATTATCTGTACAAGCAGATATTCCGGTAACACTTTATTTGAAGGGGTGTGCATATGACTGTCATAACGCTGTCAAAAATATGACATAACACCTGTCATGGACCTAAATGAGTCCTCATGAATGTTTATGACTGATGTCATTAAGTATCGTTCGGTAAATTATGACACTTTTAATGTAAAGTTGACATTGTTTAAAATGTCTTTGTCACGACAACTTGACATTAACCAAGACAAAAAATGTCTTGACAAGTTAAGAGTATTTATAAGCATTTGTCAGTGTATTTAAAGACATCTTTATAACTAGTCTAACATGTTCCACTTTGAGGTAAGGGAAAACATTAATGACATATATTGGTCTCACGACAGCCAAAGTTAAGACTAACAACAAATGACAGTGTAATAAAAATAATAAAGTTGATACTTATAGCTTTTATAACAGGTTATGATTTCTTGGTTAATGTCAAGTTGTCATAACAGACATTTTAAACAATGTCAACTTTACATTAAAAGTGTCATAATTTATTGAATGACACTTAATGACAACAGTTATAAACATTCATGAGGACTCATTTAAGTTCATGACAGGTGTTATGTCATATTTATGACAGTGTCATGACAGTCTCATGCACACCACTTCAAATAAAGTGTTACCGATATTCCAGACTTACTATAGTCAATTCATGTTCTAATTTTAGTTAACGAAAATAAAAGTAAGTATGTGTATATGTGTGTTTGCGTGTGTGTATCTTTGTTTATTATAAGAGAAAATGGACAATAAATAGTGTTTCAAAGTGTTTTTATGGATGTTTTGTTGACTCTATTTAGATATAGGAAATTTCTTATGTACAGTACTTCAGTGAAGTAATCCTGCATTGCCCTCCTACCAAGAGCTTTTGCCCTCCCTTTGCCCCCCACCCCAGTGGAAAATTTTCTAGATCTGCCACTGACTTATGCTGACTTATGAAAATTATGTTAAGCCTACTTTACGCATATTGACAACAAATTCAATCTAATTTCTTGTATTACAGTACAAGATTCTTTTTAATTCCATCTTCAGCTTAATCGTCCTTGGACCAAGTATTTCTGTCTTTGTTAAATAAATATTTCCATAACAGACATCTTTATTGTTGGACAAATGTTTCATAAATTGGCATAAGTTGTGTGTCAGGGCCTGGCTTCTCTCCAATGGCTTCCTGTTTGCTTTAGGAGAGATTTTAAGGTTTAATTGCTTTACTTTTAAAGCTTTAAAATGTCTGGCTCCGTCTCATCTGTGTGATCTCACTAACATCCACACTTCAGTTAGAGCACTTCGCTCATCCACTCAGTTTCTCTTCTTAGATCAAGGCTAAACTTTAGAGGTGATCAGGCTTTGTCTCTGCCCCAAACCTTTGGAATGGCTGACCATATGTATCCGGACTGCTGAATATATGCTTAAAACTCCATGGCCTTTAATTCTGGTAGAGTTTGAGATTCTTTTAAAAACAGAGTTTTAAATGTTGTATTTCTTTCTAAATTGATCTTATTTTTAACATTTGTGTGTTGCTTTGTTTTATTCATTTATTTGGCTGAATTGCGAAGCACTTTGTTCAACTTCTGTTGCTTTTATGTGCTATATAAATAAATTAACTTTGACAAACCATTGATGAAGGAGTGCTTTAACATGACACTTTCTAAAGTGTTAGTTGAGTTGTGGGGTGGGTGTCTAAGACAAGTGCAGACAATGTTTTTTTCAGTGATTTGAGGTTTACTTTTTACTTTCAGGTTTGTCTTTAAATCAGTTTTGCTGCGTTGCATTTGCTTTCAAGTTTTATCTTATCTTTCACATCAGTGAAAATAGTAAAAAAATGTTAGACAAATTTAATCAGAAAGAGGGTTGATGACAGTTTTGTTTTTTGTTTGATCATTAGCAGGAAGTCAAAATGAAGAGTTTGAAACATGAAGCACCTTGTGTTTAAAACTGTATGTAGAATTTTATGCCTGCGCTACTCACAAAATATACACAATAAATTGAAATTTAAGCTACAGGTACTTTCTATTTATTATGTTTTTTTGGCTGTATTTATTGGTTACTATAGCTAAACACTAACAAGTTCAAAAACAGAACAAAACTTTTGCTGATTCAGACATTTTTCACAAACATTCGTCGTCCGACTCACATGACAGTTTATTTTTACAAAATCATCCAAATACATTGTAAAAACATATTTCATCAGTGTGATGATTAAGACTCTGTGGAATGTTCTTTATTATCTTCCAGCAGCAGGACACAGGTCCTAATATGGTATCGTTCAAAAGGCCAAGCGACGTGGAAAACAACTTGATTCACCAAACCACAGGATTTCCAATGCAACAGGTGTGCCTGACTAGTTAGTGATGCTGACTCGTTTGACTCACCAGAGCATGGTCGAAGCTGAAGGTGCTTATGTAATAGGCAGAAATGTCCCCTTCAGCGAGTGGCTGGGATATCTGCGCCACTATACCACACTCATCTAAAACAGATAAGATAAAATGAGACACGCTTTCATTAGTAAAAGATGCAAACATGTGACAACAGAAAGCTACAGTTTTGTGTAACCTTGATTTTAAGAGAAATTAGACTTGACTTTAAATTGAAAAACTTCCTTCTTCTGTCTGAACAAACAAAAAATAAAAAGTTTTTATGAATCTGACCAAAGATTCTGATCGTTTTTAAAACGTGTTCAAAATAACAAAAGAATAGGAGAGCCAAGGAATGCATTGTGAAGCAATGCATCCCTCTCTCTCATTATTTGAATGGTAGCACCTATTATTTCAGTCATTTCTGTGACCTCTAAAATATTTTTGTTCTGTAAAACATTTTAAATGAAACTATTAATTTAAAAAAAATGTTATTTAACAAAAACAATGTTGCATTAAATACATTTGCAATGCATCTCCTCCAGATAATAACAGAAGTCCAGCTCACTGTAAAGGTTATGAGATTAGCTCACCACTTCTGGCAGTTTTGCAAATAATTTTAAATTTTATTCATATCCTGTTTCAGGCTGAACTTTAAAGGTGTGGTTGTACTTCACAAGACGTAAGGCATTGGATATCACTGACATGATTGTGAGATGGTCTTTTTCTCATGGACAATTCATACTCAAAGACAAACTACGGGGGAGACCTCCTGGTAAGTCCTCCCTTGGTCTTCCCACTGCAGCACACATCATGCTAACAGCAACTACACAGCGGAACGTTGGCAAAGTACAGGTTTATTTTCAGCTGATGATGGAGGAGAAAGATCTAGTATTTCTGTTATTAACTGAGGAGAAATGGGACTTGTCATGTGGAGACATCGTTCCTACACTGTCTGGATGAGGTGCACTCCCTCCCAGTCAGCACAGCCACCTGTGTCTCAGCGCTGTTTCCTCCGTGCAATCTCTTTCCATGAGTTCTTTGACTAGTCAGGGGTGTCAAACTCCAGTCCTCGAGGGCCGCTATCCTGCATGTTTTAGAGGTTTTCCTGCTCCAACACACCTGACTTTGATGGCTGGGTGATAACAGGCTTCTGCACAATTTGAAGAGTTAATTCAATCACTGAATCAGGTGTGTTGGAGCTGGAAAACCTCTAAAACATGCAGGATAGCGGCCCTCGAGGACTGGAGTTTGACACCCCTGATCTATACACACTAGAAACCATGGACCATCTATACACACTAGAAACCATGGACCATCTATACACACTAGAAACCATGGA